CATGTTTCAGATGATACGTCATGTTTGTAGTCGACCAATGAAGATGAGTTTACATATCACCTTGGGTTCGTCCTTCACCTTCTCAAAATGATCCCACACTTTGGATTTCCTGCCCGACATGTTATTAACTAGCCTGTGGAATAACCGCAGGTACCAGCCCTGGAAATTAACCTGACTCCTGTCTGACTGCTGAGCGTGGACACTTCCTGTGTCTGTCCTTTCAAAGTAAACTCACTCATGCTCCAGTCATATAGGTTTGGATTTATTTTGACAAGGAGCAGCTCCTGATAGAGTTTCACTATTTTTTTCTGTGACTAGGTGACCAATGAAATCGTGCCGACTGATGACCTTTCTGGTCGACTGTTAGGGGGCAGCCCTGGTACTTATTTTATCACTGATTTTTAAAGACGCCTTCTAAACCCATTGCTTTGTAAGGCTTCTTTAAAAATTGCCAAATTTACACCATTTGTCTTTTTTGAAAAATAATACTTTACTGCAAGGTTTCTTTCAACATCCTACAAATATTTTTTACAGTCCGTTGCATATTTTTATGCCTTTTGTGTAAATTAAAGCTTCAAACAAAGGGACGAACACCCAAACACAATTACACGAATAAATAAATAATAAATTGCAAAAATACAAAATTTGTTGTCCAACACGGCCTCACTCCAAAGTCTGGTTGAAATCTGGCACTTGCAGTGACTTACAGCGTCAGACACTGACGAAAAAAGGCCTTTCTTTATCATCGGCATGATGCGCAGCTGGTCGCTGTTGTAGTTTAACACCACTGGGCAGCATCAGGGGGAAACGCAGCAGGACAAGAACGAAAGTTAAGGCGGCAAAAGTACGGTGGGTGGGAGGGTTCTTATATTAACTATAAATACAGGTTTGTGCACACTTTTCCAAAGCCTTTTAAAAAATTATTTCCAAATCTACTAACTTCTTGTAGTTTGTGGAATATTTCTTGACACGTTGCTTATCGCCTTTTTATTTTTCAAAAGAAATCAAACCGATTTGCTCAGGACTCAAAGGTTTAAATACTTGTGAAGGGCGTCTGAAGGCAGCATGACAAATTGATGTTGTCCACGTTTCAAATTCTTAAAGAGAAAACAAACGAAAGTCCCACCCCAGCCACCCCTGTCCTCTGATTAATACAGAACAGTCCCTTAATGAAGGAAAGAAGAACTATATAAATACACAATTTGGTTACAGTATGAATTCTTGTAGCCTGCTGTCAGTGGGGTCGTCTCGTCCTCAGTAGGAATCAAACTACCAACCCTCGAGGTAGATGAAGCCACATAAGTAGAAACAAAAGGAAAGAAGCTTAGGTTGCACACTGAGGGTCACATGTAGGTTTGTGTCGAGTCCTCACAAAGGAAACACAGATTCAGTTTCCAACCGCAGAGGGCAGCACTGGAGATAAGACGACGCTCGAGTCAAAACCAAACCATCTCTCAGAGAAAGAGAGGGGAGCTATATTTAGCTCGGCTTTCTCTCTGGCTGGCTGCTGAGGAGGGGAAGTGAGGCGACTGCGCTGAATGCTGATTGAGATGCTCTTAAATTCATGAATGAAGCATGTGTGGCTCACATTAACTTGTTACACTACTCGCCTGTTACATTTTAACCCTTACAACTCTGCCACAGAAACGATCCGCCAGTGCACATAGTGGTGTTTTTGTTCATTGTGTCATTTTTTCAAATGCTTCACATCCCTTAAATCTGCACAACCTGAGCTAAGAGGTTATGTGAGTCAGTAAACCAGAATAAGTGATGAAAGTATTGATATTATGTCATACGTTTAAAAAATACAATGTTTTTTTCATCAAATTTGAAAAATAAACATACAGAACATATTGATCCAAAAGATTTCTAAATGTAAAAATATGATTAAAGTATCTTAACACTCCACAAGTTATTTGAAATAAGTACAATTTTAGTTTTTGAGATATGTTCATTTTTATGTGCATACTGCAAAGGCGTTTTGATAGGTTCATCTGCAGTAGAAATGTTTCCCCAGAGCCTACACTGGTATTTTTTGGTATTTCATATTTGTAAAATCTGTCCAACCTAAAAACTAAAAGGTTGTGTGTGTCAATAAACCATAATAATTGATAAAAGTATTCAAATTGTGCCATAACCTTGACACTTCTGTCGACCTGCTTCTCTGCTCCTCAGGTTTTTAATGAAAGCCATATGGCTTTTGACATTTTGACGTTTGTATTAATAAGTCAAGTTTGTGCGTCTTAACAGATAAAATAAGACGTCTTAACACGTCAAATGTGCGTCAAGATGTGCATTAAGATGTGTTCCTAATTGGTCTGGAATAAATATTAGCACACCGTAATGATAGTAAAACACAGGTTCTGGTTCAGTGCCAGAAACTGTGCCTATAATTCATGCAAGGTATAATAGGGGACACGAATAAGACGGATACAAAGCTCAATTTTCCTGAGTAAAACACCATGTTTGTGTTTAAGAATAATTTTCTATATAATTTATACTGGATGCAAACACCACAGGCTGTGGTTTGTTCAGCCACAGTGGCCAATGTTTATGTGGAAGAAAAAAGAACAAAAGAAACGCTCAGATTTCTCTAAAATGCTCCTGCAGCTTGATCCTAAATGTTTTTAGTTATAATATTTAGATAGATCCAAACGTTCTGTCTTTGTCTTCTATGTTTGACTCGCTGCCCGCGCTCTGCTGTGGTTAAATTTTTATGTCCGTCCAGCAGAAGCTCCCTCTCTGATGTTATATTTAGGTCTGGACTAAAGGTTAGGCCCATAATCAACTTTTATGTGAAAATTATCACAAGTTATTGCTTCGCAGTTCAGCCAGAAACCCAAAGCCGTTTGTGAGGCAGTTAATCTCTGGTTTTTAAAGGCATGCGGCCTGTTTTACTGCCGCCCATTACTTCTACTAGTGTATTGACACACTGGTTACAATCTCCATTTGTCATTGTGCTGTGAATAAAATCAGTTTTGGGAGTGTAAAAATATTCAGCAGCATTTTGTTCCTGTTTGTTACAGAATCTGTGACAGAGACGTCCCAGCAGCCCACCAGTCTGTGGCTCGTTAGGGTACGAGTACTAAAGCTGGGAAGTCCTAGAGGGACACTTGGAAACAGCCGTCAATAGTCATGTTTCAGATAAATTGTCAAGCGAATTTTGAAGGTCCAGTGTGTAAGATTTAGGGTGATTAAGTGGCATCTAGTGGTGAAGATTGCAGATTAAAACTAGCTGAAACTTCTCCTGGTTAGAATTCCTTCAGTGTACCAGGAGCTGAATTAACCGCAGAGGTCTCTTCCTCTCCAAAACAGACAGACCAGCTGATTTAAGGGGGATTTATACTTGTGCGGCAGACCCTACTCTGTAGCCCACGCTGTTGTGAGCATTTATACTTGTGCGGTGGTGTGCCTGTGTTGCTCTGCAGTTACACCTCCAAAACACTAGTTGGCGGCAGAGGTTTCAGTGAAGTGCTGTCAAGTTTAGTTGATTCAAAACACACTTCAAACACACATTAAACACACATTAAACATGGCTTAATAGAGATAATTTCAAACACAAGGACACAAATCAGCTTCACTATAACTCGCAGCGTTCACAGACAAACACTTGTCTTTATCTGGACACACAAATACAACATGCTAATATTTTTAGCACAAGCCTATGGCATTTTACATTGTATAAGTTAGCTGTATCAATTAGCGGCCAAATGAGTTGTTATATATCACCAAAAAATCCAATATCGTGCATCCCTAGAAATTCTCAGTTGGAATATGGAAACTATGGAAACCAATAGATTGGTTATTAATTAAGTCATTTGTTGCGGCTGTAACGAACAGAGCTGTCCTCGTCTTGTGTAATTTCCCAGCATGCATTACAGATCGTGTAAAGTGTAAAACAGAGTATGATGATCCCATCAGCTAAACTCATTGAGTTGAGTTTGATTGGATTGACGTCACAGACGGATCGTTCTGGAGGGGATTAGAGATGTCCGAGCCGATAACCTGTTATCTCTCTCCTCCTCTTTCTCTCCATCTGCGTTTCTCTTACTTTGTATCTTCGTCCAGTCTCACTCTCTGTCCTCTACACACACTTATCAAAATCAGAGTATCTCTCAGATCTAAATGCATTCAGTGTCTTTTTGAAGACAGTAGTCGCGCTGAATGTCTGCCCTCTGACTCCTCTCTCATTTGACTTTTCATCCAGTGAAGCTTTGATTGTTTTAATGGTGTTAAGTGTTTTTTTCCCAAAATGTCAAAATTCAGCTGTAAGTTTTCCTTTTGTTACCGAAGTTCCATCGTCACTTAAAGTTAGGGTAGGCAGTTTCATTTTGGTGCCATTGGGCAAAAATCCCATAATAAGCTTTGAGCATATTGTAATTGAAGAGGCCTGAGAGAAAACTCGACTTGTGCACCTCCTCTTGGCTCCGTTTTCAGACTTTAGGAAATTTAGCCCATGATGGGAGACTTTGGCCGATCATAGGTCATTTCAGAGAGGGGGCGTTCCTATTGGCTGTTCTACAGATGAGTGTGCACGTCCCTTCAGATGGTGAAAGCCTCATTCAACGGCGGAGATTTCTGCAGAGAAAGTTGACATCCCAGCATTTGCAGTAACTGCCTACTCTGCACAGCAACCCAAAAAAGGAAGACGGACTGATCAAATAGAGTCTGACAATAGATGTAATAAAACATGTTTAAATATTGGCATTCAAGATATGGAAGTAAAAGGGTGCTAATAGTTTAGCCAAACACTTATGTAGCTAACGTTAGCTAGAGCCTCAAATCACAGTGTGTCCTCCGCCTCATAACCTGCCAATATAGACCACCTCACCAGGAGGAGAGCGGGCAGCAGCTCAGGAGATGAACCCCCACACAGTGGCCGCAGCAGCCAGAATCCAGATAGCATCAAACTCCAGCTCCAGGAAACCAGACAGCTGGATTTTGAAACTTTCTGTTGCTGCTGATACACCGATTACACCTGCCACTGGCAACCAGCCCGCTGTGACACCTAGCGCAGGGTTTATGCTGTCTGATTTCGAGCTGCTACAGCTGCCAAGCGAAGGTCCTGGAGTTGTTGCCCACTCTCCTCCTAGTGACGCAGTTCACAGCGATGGATGTGGACCCCCAGCGAGAAGCCGCAGTAACCAGAAACAAAACAGCACTTCCCTCTGGATCAGTAAACTTTGAGTCAACTTTCTGTTGCTGCTGTTGCAAAGGTTAGACCAAGCGCTGCAGCTGGCTACCAACCCACTGTGAGATGCTGATGCCAACTGAAGATCCATCTCTGGAGCGGCTGCTGGCTCTCCTATAGGCCAAACAGTCCACAATGACGGGGAGCGAGGCGGAGGGATCATGGGGTGGCTAGCGCTAATTCTTGTTTAATTTGTGGACAAACAGAAAGCGAGAGTGGGGGAAAGACAGAGTGAACGAATGCACTGCCAGTAACGCAACAGTGACATAAGATTAAATAAATCAGTGTATGGTAAACACTAGGTTACTGTATGAAGCATGTGCATACACCCGTGGTCGTGCGGTGGGAGGGGCTTAGGACAGACAGGAAAGAGCTGCAGGAGGAGGGAGTATTTATATTTATATAACCCTGCCTACCCCAGCTTTAACTATGATTTACTGTTACAATAATAACAGAATCAGTTCACATACAGTCAACCAAATAGAAAATGCAACAGAGAACTTCAGAACAAAGACAACTAACTGTGTATAACTCTACCTGTGTGTTGTTGCTCAGGTGTGACTTGCTGTGTTGGTGACTGTGATGATGGGAGGAGAGCAGAGCCATGAGACGAAGGCTGAGGAGAAAGAAAAAGAGGCGGATAAACATCAACAATCTGCCCCTACTGACAGCTCAGGATCTGCTGCTGCTGAAGGTATACACAAAAGTAGCTCAGTTGTAACTGAGTACATTTACTCAAGTACTTAATAATTTACATTTTATTACCTCATATTTCTACTCCACTACATTCCAGGGGGAAATATTGGACTTACTGCATGACATGTATCTCACAACTTTTCAGATGAGGCTTTTACATCAGATCGCCTTCACAGTATTTCTTCAAATTTGGCACAAACGTCCACCCCACTGTTGTCTAATTCCCTCAAAAAGTGACTTCGCAAGGATAAATTTCAGTTTTGAGAAGTCATCTTCAACTCTTTCTGATCCTCGAAATAAACATCACAAAAACACAAACTGTCATTGCACACATTGTTAAACAGATCATTATGCATTTTACTCCCACAGACACCCCAGGAGAGCTGCCCCAGTGCAAGATGGGAAACAAGAAGGTGGACAACATGTGTTTCATGATCTCGTGCACTAACTGGTACTAAACTGAACCAGCAGGTTAATGAAACAGAAGATTGTTAACATGAATTCTGGGCCAGATGCTGCCTTCATGGATTCACCGAAAATCCAAAATGAAGCCGTCACCGAAGTCCCACGTGCTCCCTGCATCGTTCCACCAATCATAAAAATGACAAATTGCCATTTTACAGCTTAAACAAATGAGATATAACATGATCATCAGTGAGCTTTAGAGGCGCTGTTAGGTAAATATTGTCACCGTAGGTCGGAGCCAGGCTAGCTGTTTCCCCTGCAGTCTTTATGCTAAGCTAAGCTAACGGGTAGGAGCTTCATTTTAACATACAGATGAGAGTGGTATTGGCTTATCTAACTCTTGGCAAGAAAGTGCAAAGGCTGTGTTTCCACTTTATTTATAAGGGAAGACACCTGTAGCATATCGCTAACTCTTATGCTGGCACAGATGAGAAAAATAATCTGATATCAGATATATCATGGGAATAAGGTGATTGTTGTGAGTGTCAGTCCTTTCCTTTCCGCTTCTTCAATGTATAAACTAACCAGGTAAACACATTCATTCATTTTCCGTAACCACTTATCCTGTTAGGGGTCACGCGAGTGCTGGAGCCTATCCCAGCTGACACTGGGTGAGAGGTCACCAGACTATCACAGGGCTGACACATAGAGACAGACAACCATTCACACTCACATTCACACCTACGGACAATTTAGAGTCACAAATTAACCTGCATGTCTTTGGACTGTGGGAGGAAGCTGGAGCACCAGGAGGAAACCCACACTGACACGGGGAGAACATACAGACTCTGCACAGAAGGGCTCCCACACCCTGGGTTCGGACCAGGTTGTTGGAGGTTAAAGTCACGATCCCACACTGGCTGTCTTTAAAATCTAATTCAGTCATAAAAGGAAGAGGCAGAAGAAGGGACGGAGAGAAGATGATTCATGGACTGTATGTAAGATGGCATTCAAGGAAACCCACATACTCTAAAACTTCAATTTAATGCCTACTCCCTTTTACTAGCCTGGTGTGGCTACACGTTTTGACAAATAAAGGCCTCTCTTAATTCGAGGCCTGGTCTGGTCGCCAAGCGGCTCATTTTCATAGAAGTTCTTTGGATGTATAAAACAGGTTGTTGGCTACCCCCTGGAGATGACATTAGATCGCTGTATAGATCCTGCATACAAATATACATGTTTGAACTTCTGTCAATATGGAGATGCTACACATCATTAGCTTGGTTAGATTCTCCACAATTCAATAGTTCAGTTTATTTTATTGAAACTATGAGCACCAAAGAATAATTCAAGAGAGAGACAGAGAACAAGAGAGATGAAAAAAAGGTGGTGACTCCCTACGTTACCTCTGAACTGGGCATAAAGTCAGATTGTGTGCCCATTCGTCAATTACCCGTTAACTTATTCATATTCCTCTGGTCAGTACGAGTCTTCAGATCAAAATAATCAAAAGGGTTTTTCATAAAAATGAATCCAAGTTGTAAGTATTTGAATAGCTTTAAGTAGCGGGTGCTGAAATCCTCGGGTGCCATAAAGCTCTCTCTCTGATGCCCCGTCTGTTGGATCTAGATCGGTGATTCATAATTTATATGTTATCCGAAGCCTAATTTTTAAACAAGTAATATTCACACTGGTTTAAATAAACAATTCCATTGTATTTCCTGATCTTTGCTGAGCAACAGTTTTGTTTGAAAGGAATTAAAGGCCTGTCCCAAATATAGGCCTGTTGAGTTCTGTTATATCAGCGAATAATAGCCCAGGCTATTAATTGAAGTTTTACTGTAAGTGAGTATTTTTTTGTGGTGCCAATAAAGACTGACTGTTCTACTGATCACAGCCGTGTATGAATGTGTTTCTCGTCATGCTTTAGCAGGTTGAAGGTCGGAGAAGTAGACTAACATTTGACTGAATTAGTGAGTTTTGAATTTGATCAAAATTCTTTTAACTGGCTGAAATAAAGATGTTTGATTTTTTGTGTCTCATTACTTTTCAAGATTTAAAATTAATTGTCACCATTATATTGTTCTCCTCTTAAATGTTTAAGGAATACTTCACCCACAGAATGACCAGTTATGTATCAGTTAGTTATGTTGTGTTAGCTCGAATTTGAAAACTTCGTCTTTCTTGCACTCCTCCATGGAAAACTACGAACATATTGATTTACTGATCAAGTGGGGACCATGTCTAACAACAGCACAAAAAACAGTCCCTTACAGAAACTGTTGCAAAAAATAAGCAGCTTATAAAAATCAGAGTGAAAAACGAGATGTGAAAAAAAAAGAAGGTAAATAAGGTCTGTGGTGAACACGAGCTGAAGAGACTTTCACATTTTGTTCTGTGACATAAAATTCATCAGTCAATACCCCAATGTGAACTTTGAAGCTTCTATGTGTCATAAGCGGGATTTATACTTCTGCGTCGTATCAATGCCGTATCTTCTGCCATAGCCTGATGTGCATCTCTGCAGACCTCCTGTTTATGTTTATAAGGTGAAACCATTTACCTCAGTGAAAACGAAGCTTGCATAGTAACGCAGACAGCCTCTCCAGGAGACCCTGCCTCCAGTCCTGTCCATGTGAGCTGCAAAGCCCCTCCTTAAGTCCTGTGAACTTCAGTCATCAGGCGGTGCAATGCGAATGGGACTCCAACATCGACTGGAGGATGCTGAGTCCAGTGGGGGTAGAAGGACACACATCTCCCACCACCGAGAGTATAGTGGGGGTAGATGAAGTTTCACCTACTGACACTGACTTCTCAAAGCTCCCAGAGAGAATTTACCAGACTACAACCAAGGAAACGGCTCTTTTGCAGCTGGTCCCCAGAGGAAGTGCAACAGGTCCAGGAAGCTGATCCTGACATTGCACCTATCAAGACGTGGATGGAGGCCGACGGAGAGCGCCCCCCATGGTTAACAGACTCACCATGCAGTCCAACCACAAAGATGTACTTGAGCCAGTGGAAGCGACTCTACATCTGAAATGGAATACTGGTTAGGCGTTTCTACTGCCTAGATGGCACCCAGTACTACCCACAAGTTGTGCTACCTTGTGTCTTCCAGCCTAACGTCGAGGGACAGGTTGGTGGACATTTTGGGGTGGAGTGCACCGTAGCTCGGTTGCAGACCCAATACTTGTGGTACCGGATGAGGGAGGATGTCACCCTCTGATGCAGTACCTGCACCAGTTGCGCATCCAAGGCCAGGCCACTCAAGACACCACAAGCCCCCATGGGTACGGTTCAAGTGGGAGCCCCAATGGAACGTGTTGCCTTGAACATCATGGGCTGCTGAACGAGATAGAGCGCAATAACAGATATGTGCTTGTGATACAGGACTATTTCACCAAATGGGTGGAAGCCTTCCCTCTCCTGGACAACAAGGCTGTAACTGTGGTGGAAGTGCTAGCCTCAGAATGGGTGTGTCATTATGGAGTGCCACAGATACTGCACAGTGACCAAGGCAGAAAGTTCAAGTCTGAAGTGTTCCAGAAAACGTGCACATTGTTTGGTATAGATAAAACACGTATCACACCCTTCCGGCCTCAGTCTGATGGCCAAGTTGAGCATTTCAATGCCACCTTGCAAAAGATCCTGGCCACAACAGCTGGGCGTTGCCACTGGGACCGGGACTGGGACCTCATGATCCCCTATGCTGTTACGGCCTACAGAGCGACAAAGCACAGTGCAACTGGTTTCACTCCCAACTTCATGATGATCGGCAGGGAAGTGAGTGAGCCAGTCGACCTGGTAGCTGGCCTGCCACCTGATCCTGATGCAGCCCCTTCAGCCCCTGAGTATGTCCAGCACCTGGAGCTGGCACATCAAATCACCAGAAAAGCTCTTGGTGAGTCTGTGAAACGTGCAAACTGCTGTCACACACAGTACCAGGTTGGTGATACTGTGTGGTACCTCATCAAAGGTACACGCAAAGCCAAGAACAGAGACGGAAAGTTCCTCCCATCTTATGAAGGGCTATTCTTCATCCTGGGACAGTTGGACGATCTGGTGTATCGCATCCAAAAAGGCCCTAAGACCAAAGTTAAAGTGGTTCATCATGACCAGCTGAAGCCCTATCGCTGCCGTGATCCCCCTGGACAACACCTGGGCTATGCAGCAGGCTCAGAGCTGGACACCAATGGAGGGGTCACCAATTCTGCGGACTCCGACCTGGGTCTCTCCCAGCTGTTCTCCAGCACCGACGTGGAGGGAGCATCCAGCTTCACCTCGCCAGATCCAGTAGCGGACGTTCCTGCAGCTACAGCTTCACACGCCCTCACTTCTCCTCATCTGGACTCTTCTGCTCCTGGGGACCTTCAGGATATTGGGGGTGGTGAGGCAGAGAAATAGCATCAGGGCCATTGTTCGCAAAGGCCGAGCCGCCACTGGAAACAAATTAGGCGTTATACAATAGAGGCATAAAAAGTGCTGTTTCTAGTATGCTAATGATCTCCTACCATTGATTTTCCTTAGCCAATACATTTCAACTGCTGTCGTCTGGCAATGGAAACAGACCAAATCAATTCAACCCAGATCCCCTTTTGCAGATCTTTCTTGTTACAAAGTTTGCACAAACCTGTAACACAGAACTACTTGTGGTTTGTGAGTCTGAATAAAATGTTCCATGCCCACAGTTTATTATTTTAAAACCTATTTGACAGATAGTTTTGCTATTTTAAGAATGCCATTGTCAGTGATACACAACATACTGCTTTCTATGTGGATCAACACTTACGATGTCCCCCACCATTTGGATCACCTATGGCTCAATGGATAGAGCATAGAGCTTCATATGCAATAGTTTACTGAGTCACAGGTTCAAAGCCCAAATATGATGATTTTTTTCATGACTGTAGAAGGTGTCTCTTTACCTGACTCACCTGACACAAACCAGGAAACACTTTGTTATTTTTCCTCACTGAAGAGAGACACACAGACTGAAGAACAGACGACCAGATTCACCTTCAAACCAAACCCTCCTCCACCACATTCACCCCACGTTTAAACAATGTTTGAACATAAACGTAACTGTCGCAACGTCCTGCTGAACACCATCAGTCTACATCAGCAATGAAGGAAGTGTAACAAAGCTCCACCCCTCACCTGACTCCCCTGGCACAAACCAGGAAACACTTAGTTATTCTTCCTCACTGCAGAGAGACACACAGACTGAAGAACAGACGATCAGATTCACCTTCAGACCAAACTAACAACTTTCTCTGAGTGAGTTCAGCTAAAACTCCAACACTGCTGCTTCAACCTGCTGACACTCCACACACTGAAGGTGAGTTTGACTAAAAACACCACTCAAAGTCAAAGTACATTTCAGTCAAGTTAGTAGAGGAGGGAGGGGAGCCATGACTGACTGTACTTTCTGTCTGCTGTGTTTTCAGCTTCACTCAGAGACTAAATGGCTTCCAGATCAGAGGAGGATCTCTGCTGTCCGGTCTGTCAGGACGTCTTTAGACATCCTGTTGTTCTGTCATGTAGCCACAGCTTCTGTAAAGACTGTCTGCAGAACTGGTGGAGACAGAAAC